TTTTTTAGTTGTTATTACATTTTAATATGTAGCAAACTTATAAACTCATTTCTTTAGTAACTCCTATTTTGGATGTAACAAACATACAGTGCAATACCAGCACAGAGCTGTGGCTAAGAGGGGCCCTTGTACAAAGTGATATTGTATTACTGGTTACACTACAAGTTTCATTAAGTGGCATTCCAGTTCATCACAAAGGTGTTCAGTAAGGTTAAGGCCTTGACTCCATGCAGGCCAATTAAAAGTTCTTCCATGCTACACTCATCAAACTACATATCTGTGGAACTAGCTTTAGGCGTGGGGTACAGTAATACTGAAACAGAAAAGTGCCTTCTCCAAATTATTGCCACTGGGTTAAAAGCACACAATTTACTGTATGCTGTAGCATTAACAGTACCCTTTACTGGAAACCCCTAAACACAATAATTTGGAGGTTTTCACTTATTTTTGGCCTTGTAGTAGGTGTGATGGTTGTGCAAAGTGACTAAGTGGTTAGCACTTCTCCCTAGCAGCACTAGAGTCATCAGTTCTAATCCCAACCACAAAGCACTACCTGCATGGAGTCTGCATGTTCTCCCTGTGCCTGCGTGGGTTTCCTTAAGGTACTCTGGTTTCCTCCCACACTCCAAAAAGACATGCTGGTAGGCTATTTGGCTCCTGTCTAAACTGGTCCTAGTATGTGTATGTATGAATGTAAGTTAGGGACCTTAGATTGCAAGCTCCTTGAGGACAGGGACCTGATGTGAATGTACAATATATACGTAAATTGCTTTATAAATTGACAGTGCTATATAAGTACCTGAAATAAATATAAATGTGCAGTGACATAACAATAGTTATAGCAGCCCATGCAGCTGCCAAGGGGGCTAGGGAGCTTGTTAATGGAGCTGTGAAGGTTCCTGTATAGAAGGCTGACAGATCCTTGACCTTGTTAGTCACAGACCCCCCCCCCCCCCCATAAGAAACATTTACTTAGCTATCTTAGTAGTGTAGATTTATTACCCTCTGAACATCTACAGACTGAAATTAACCCTGTATGCCTAATACAGTCACAAATCACAGGGTTTCTCCTCATCTAAAATTTTATAGGAAGGCTAAGGTTTGTAAATCTGTGAAAAAAAGAGTAAGTACATTTGTACTGAGGTTATAAAGCAATTGTGTGAAAGAACAGTAATCATTTTTTCATGAGATAAAACAGAATCATCATTACTATTATCGTGACTAAAAGTATAACATTTATCCAAAGCACTGTTCCCTAACAGTGTTTCGGACTATGCTGACAGCTGTCCCTGTCCTTGATATTTTATGTTAATATTGATGACAGTATTGGCACAGATGACACTGTCAGCTGCTACAGGAAGAATTAGCCAGGGGCCCTATCTAAAGTGTGCTATGGGGCTCCATGATTCATAGTTACTCCTCCGGTCTTGTGTCCACAAATCTTTGGCCATATTGCGTACTAAGAGCTACAGTGTCTTGAAAAACTATTCATAACCCTTGAAATTTTCCACATTTTGTCATGTTACAACCAAAAACGTAAATGTATTTTATTGGGATTTTATGTGATAGACCAACACAAAGTGGCACATAATTATGAAGTGGAAGGAAAATTATAAATGGTTTTTCAAAATATTTTCCAAGTAAATATCTGAAAAGTGTGGCATGCATTTGTATTCAGTCCCCGAGTCAATACTTTGTAGAACCACCTTTCCCTGCAATTACAACTGCAGGTCTTTTGTATATGTCTCTACCAGATTTACACATCTAGAGAGTGAAATTTTTGCTCATTCGTCTTTGCAAAATAGCTCAAGCTCTGTCAGATTGGATGGAGAGCGTCTGTGAACAGCAATTTTCAAGTCTTGCCACAGATTCTCAATTGGATTTAGGTCTGGACTTTGACTGGGCCATTCTAACACACGAATATGCTTTGATCTAAACCATTCCATTGTAGCTCTGGCTGTATGTTTAGGGTCGTTATCCTGCTGGAGAGTGAACCTCCACCCCAGTCTCAAGTCTTTTGCAGACTCTACAGGTTTTCTTCTAAGATTTAAATAAAGGAATAAAACCACAAACTATTCCTAATTTAGTGTAGAAACATTAGTGCAAAAGATATATATATATCTATTCTCAATTAATATAAAAAAATATCAAAATTATGTGCAAAACTATTTTTTAGTGCATAAGTAATTTAAATAATTAAATTTGTGAATATAAAAAAATGTTCAATTCTGAATTTCTTCAAATGTCCAAACAAATCCTTTTCAAATTCAGGTGCTCTCAAAGAAATTGTGCCAAAATCCACCACCAAAGTAAAGTTGGGTAACTCACCAGAGCTCCATGCTGATCAATCTCTAGATCAGCAAAAAACGCTTTTTGCTCTGGGAGCAGGTGCAATGAATCAACTTCTCAGGTGTGATGATCAATAGCTACACAATCATCCATAAGGTAGGTATCCACCACTCAGCCCTACTAGTTTCGTCATGAATGACGTCTTCAAGGGGCAGTCTCAAGAAGACTTGAAGACGTCATTCATGACGAAACTATTAGGGCTTGGCTTGCTGGATGCTGACGTCTGTAGAGAAAATTGAGTCACGAGCGCTGTAGTGAGTGTGCGGGGAACAGGAGACTGTTATACCATTTGCTGTTTTATGCTGTTATACTGGTGTCGGTGAAGACACCTTTTTTGTGAGTGTAAATCTTTATTAAATTGTTGGATACTTTTATAAAAAAAACTGGCTGCACCATGATTTTCTTTTTCATTCCCAAACATGACCTCGGTGGAGAGATATAAAAAGAGAGAGAGTGATATAATGCTCCTGGAACCATTATATTGAGTGGTGGATACCTACCTTATGGATGATTGTGTAGCTATTGATCATCACACCTGAGAAGTTGATTCATTGCATCTGCTCCCAGAGCAAAAAGCGTTTTTTTGCTGATCTAGAGATTGATCAGCATGGAGCTCTGGTGAGTTACCCAACTTTACTTTGGTGGTGGATTTTGGCACAATTTCTTTGACAGCACCTGAATTTGAAAAGGATTTGTTTGGACATTTGAAGAAATTCAGAATTGGACATTTTTTTTTATATTCACAAATTTAATTATTTAAATTACTTATGCACTAAAAAATAGTTTTGCACATAATTTTGATATTTTTTTATATTAATTGAGAATAGATATATATATATCTTTTGCAATAATGTTTCTACACTAAATTAGGAATAGTTTGTGGTTTTAGCGCATTCCTTTATTTAAATTATAGCACTAAGAAATTTATTTGGTTTCTTTGAGGTGGAATTGCTGCTTTAAAGTATTAAGGGTGTGGCGCTTTTTATTACACTTGTGATTTCTTCTAAGATTGCCCTGTATTTGGCTCTATCCATCTTCCCATCAACTCTGACCAGTTTCCCTGTCCCTGCTGAAGAAAAGAATCCCCACAATATGATGCTGCCACCACGTTTCACAGTGGGGATGGTGTGTTCAGGGTGATGTGCAGTGTTAGTTTTCCACCACACATGGCGTTTTACTTGTAGGCCAAAAAGTTCAATTTTGGTCTTATCTGACCAGAGCACCTTCTTCCACATGTTTGCTGTGTCCCCCACATGATTTCTCGAAAACTGTATTGGCCAATTTTCCATAAATGCCAGATTTGTGGAGCACACGACTAATAGTTGTCCTGTGGACAGATTCTCCCATCTGAGCTGGGGATCTCTGCAGCTCCTCCAGAGTTACCATGGGCCTCTTGGCTGCTTCTGTGATTACTGCTGTCCATCCCTGGCCTGTCAGTTTAGGTGAACGGCCATGTTTTGGTAGGTTTGCAGTTGTGCCATAGTCTATTTTTGGATGATGGAATGAACAGTGCTCCGTGAGATCTTCAAAGCTTAGGATATTTTTTTCATAACCCAACCCTGCTTTAAACTTCTCAACAACTTTATCCCTGACCAGTCTGGTGTGTTCCTTGACCTTCATGATGCTGTTTGTTCACTAATGTTCTCTAACAAACCTTTGAGGGCTTCACAGAATAGCTGTATTTATACTGAGATTAAATTACACACAGGTGGACTCTATTTACTAATTAGGTGACTTCTGAAGGCAATTGGTTCCACTAGATTTTAGTTAGGGGTATCAGAGTAAGGAGGGCTGAATACAAATGCACACCACACTTTTCCGATATTTGTAAAAAAGTTTGAAAACCATTTATCATTTTCCTTCCACTGCACAATTATGTGCCACTTTGTGTTGGTCTATCACATAAAATCCCATTTACATTTTGGTTGTAACATGACAAAATGTGGAAAATTTCAAGGGGTATGAATACTTTTTCAAGGCAATGTATTTAATCTCAGATGAACATATCTGGTTGTATAAGAACATGGTGAGGAAACCAACTTTCTTAATTTAAGATGCATGTGTATGTCTTTTATCTTGTCGATGCAATCACTGCATGCAGACAGGATAAGTATAATGACGATGATATTTCAGATCTTAAATTATAAGTAAATTACCTTTTGGCAATCCATGTTCATCCTCATCAGGCTGAAGCAATTCCCCTTTTTGTGACTTCTCCATTACAATCTTCATAAACTGTGCATACCTGTAAAAGCAGGAAATGAGGCAGAAAAGCAGTACAGAGGGGTGAAAAGTGAGGCCTATATAAAACAGCGATGCCGTCTCATGTCCAATGCAGATTTCAAACAGTAGTTTAAGACTCTTAAATGTTATACAGCACCATACATTTGTCACTAGTTTGTTCCAAAGTTTGACACTGTTTATCGCTGTGACCCCCAGTGACACATTCAGTGAATCATAGTCTAACATTTCACAGTTTGTAATCTTTCACATTTTATAATGCATACAATAAATACCGTATTTTTCGCTCCATAAGAAGCACTTTTTTCCCCCCAAAAAAAGGGGGGAAAATGTCAGTGCGTCTTATGGAGCGAATATGGAGCGGCCGGTCCAGTATGTCCACCGCCATCACCGTGTCAGAACACTGGGCTGTCAGCTTAGCTCTTCTCTGCAGCAGGACCTTACCTGTTCCTTCCCTCGCCGGCATCTTTAGTGTGGGCACACGGCTGTGACAGCGGGTGCCCACTGCGCATGCACGAGAAGCGCTGCGTGTTGTGAATGGTCCAGCGTCTTCTGGGACCTGTCATATGTCCCAGAAGACGCCGGGCCATTCACAAAGCGCAGCACTTCTTGCGCATGCGCAGTGGGCACCCGGGTGCCCACACAACAGGGAGGACAACTCTGCGGAAGTGGGAGCGGGTACCTGACAAATTCAGGTACCAGCTCCCCCTCATTCCCCAAAGGTCCACAGTAGGTCCACAGTATACTGGTCATCTCCTGTACTGTCTGCAGTCCTGTACTGTCTCTCTGGTCATCTCCTGTACTATGTTCGCAGTCTCTGGTCATCTCCTGTACTATGTCCGCAGTCTCTGGTCATCTCCTGCACTGTCTGCAGTCTCTGGTCATCATCTCCTGTACTACTGTCCCCTGTAGTCTCTGGTCATCTCCTGTACTATGTTCCGCAGCAGTCTCTGGTCATCTCCTGTACTATGTCCTGGCACTGTCTCTGGTCATCTCCTGCACTGGTGTCTGCAGTCTCTGGTCATCATCAGTCCTGTACTATGTCAGTCTCTGGCAGTTTTTTGGTCATCCCCTGTACTATGTGTCTCTGGTCAGTCTTTTGGTCATCTCCTGTACTGTGTCCGCAGTCTCTGGTCCTGTACTGTCTGCAGTTGCTGGTCATCTCCTGTACTGTGTCCGCAGTCTCTGGTCATCCCCTCTACTGTGTCCGCAGTCTCTGGTCATCTCCTGTACTGCGTCCGCAGTCTCTGGTCATCTCCTGTACTGTATCCGCAGTCTCTGGTCATCTGTACTGTGTCCGCAGTCTCTGGTCATCTGTACTATGAGCAAAAAAACCCCAAAAAATCATTGATACCTCCCGCAGTCTCTGGTCATCTACACCTTACTATGTCTGCAGTCTCTGGTCATCCCCTGTACTGTGTCCGCAGTCTCTGGTCTCTCTCATTGGAAGGACACCTTTTCTCCTGTACTGTTGTCCGCAGAACTCTCCAGCGCTTCTTTGGTCATGTTTGGGGTCATTGTCCTCTCCAGGTACTACGTCCGACACTGGGCCCTACAGTGCGACCCAAAATCCTTTGGTCATTTCCCCTGTACAGTGTGTCCGCAGTAGGCCTCATTCCGTTTTCGGTAAACAGTAGAATGGTGCTTTACCGAAAAGCTCTATCCTTGGTGTACTGTCCACAAGACGTTTTCCGCATTTTGGCAAACTGTAGTCTTGCTTTTTTATGTCTCTGTGTCAGCAGTGGGGTCCTCCTGGGTCTCCTCTGTACATTTATTTAAATGTCGACGGATAGTTCTGAGCCTGCAGTCTGCTTATCCACCATCCGGACTATTCTGCGTTGCAATCTTTCATCTCCCTGTACATGGGTTGCAAACTTCTTGATAATGTTCGCACTGTGGACAAAGTCTAACCTTGAGTCATGTGCCCTGTGCTCAGACAGTTCTGTCTCGTCTTTCTGTTGTCCTCTGTGGCACAGACATCTCAATGCAAAGGTAACTGTGTCTCCGCAGTCTTTCTGGTCATATGCCCCTGTACTTGCCCCAGGTGTTTACCGCAGCATCTCTGGTCATCTCCTGTACTGTGTCCGCCCATTTTTGGAGGTCTCTGGTGACAATCTCCTGAATTTACTGTCTTTCCGCAGTCTCTGGTCATCTCCTGTACTGTGTCCGCAGTCTAATGCTGGTCATCTCCTGTACTGTGTCCACAGTCCTCTGGTCATCTCTGGTAATCTCCTGTACTATGTCTGCAGTGCAGTATCTGGTCATCTCCTGTACTGTGTCTGCAGTCTCTGGTCATCTCCTGTACTATGTCTGCAGTCCATTAGTTCAGAATATTTTTTTCTTTGTTTTTCTTCTCTAAAACCTAGGCGCGTCTTATTGTCAAGTGTATCTTATGGAGCAAAAAATATGGTAGCTTATACATTTGATTTAATATCACTATTTAACACCTTCCCACCCAGCCCCTGCATCCTTTTATTAAGATCTGTATGGCCTGGAGTGGGAAAGATTGGTGATCATGTGAACACTGTGATTAGCTGTCACAGTCATCATATGATCGTCAGCTTGTCCCGCCAGCTACTGATTGCTAGTGGGGACCAAGAGCTGTCAAAAGCCCTCTTTGTTTTGTATTTTCTATAACTTACATGAAATGCCACTTAATGGCCTATTGGTCAGGGAGCTGCCTCACCAAATTCATTGCAGTTGTAGAGATGCAACCCTTAGGCTATATCAAAGAAGACATCATTTGGCATCAAGTGCACAAAACACAACACCTGCTAGGTTTTTATTGCTGACTGTGTCCCCCCAGGAAGATTTAATTAGAGGCAGGAAGCTAAGGAGGAGATTTCCCTAAAAGGGTCACAACAGAAATAGAATGGTTGAAGGCTAGAATCTCAATCAACGTTTATTGCTACATGGGTTCCTGTCTGAGATTTCCTCTGACTTTGCTTTCTGCTCGGTGACAGTACTGTCACCAATATAAGTAGGAAGGAGAAATTTCCAGAACAGAGCCATAGATAGCAAAGAAAAGACAAAAAAAAAAATCACTCTGTAAAATGCAAAAAAAAAAAAAAATAGTTTTTGTTTCATCTTACAGAATTGTAAAGTCCATCTCCAGGTAAATCTATGGAAGACTCAGGACCTGTTGTATCACACGACCATGGCTATAGGTAAGTAAAAGGTACTTTTAGGCAGGTCGTTTTTTTTTTTAACTCATTGATCATTTAGATGTGGGTCGTCTTAGAGATCAGCTTTAAGATCACAGCTCTAATATTCAAACCAGCTTCAAAATTAGTATTCCTTTATTATGTTAAATACTTTTGTTAATGAATCTACACTTGCTGCATGACTTACTTGTGTTGTACAAAGACTTCCAAGAGTTCTTGGCGAAGACTACAGAGACGGTGTCGGTAAGGTTTTGGAAATCCAAAGTTACGACATTCTTGTAATATATATTCTTCGTGCAGTGGAAGGAAGTTCGCATCTGGAGGAAATGTTCGGAGGAGGTCCAAAATGTAGTGGCGTCCATCATTACCCACAATCCCTTTGCATTCCACAGAGGAACATAGAAGCAATTCTTCATTCTTCTCACTCAGAACAGCATGCCTCAATATCTTCAGTGGTTTGCAGGCCTTATGTAGTAAAGAGAGATATTTTGCACTTGTTGACACAGTTTTACCAAAGTCAATGGATCCATAAAGGACACTTTGGTCTTCTTTACGGTCTAAAATTCCAGGTATGATTGACTGAGCAGTTACTCGGTATCCTCGGTAATCAAGAACCACAGTACCCAAGACATAAAGTTCTTCAATGTCCAGGTCACTGTAAGCCTGTACACCTTTCAGGTCATGGCTGGCAGCAACATGGGCTGCATGGTCTCCACCCAGTTCTTTATAGTGATCCCTCACATCAAACCCAAAGCTAAAGAAAATGTTGTTCCAAATAAACATCTGCATTTTTGTCTCTTCCCCAGGGTTAATGGCCATAACATTTCCATCGATGGCTGCCATTGCTCCTCGAGTGGAGGCTCCAACAAAATCAGAATTGATCTGCAATATAATCAAAAAGAACAGCTCTCACTATGTTCAGTATAGTACACAACGTGTAAAACCCAACAATGGAGCAACTCAGTGATTTACTAATACCAGCTTGTGTGGGAAACTGAAGCACAATTCTAGCCCACACTGGAATGGATTATTGTTTTTGCTGCACACTGTGAGCTTCTCATAGGGTGCATTAAAATCTGAAGCACATTAGATGGAGTCCAACTCATTTCCCAGCTGGAGGACATTCAGTAGCATCTTGCACTTTTCTACCCAACCTGTCCCTGGCCCACCACTTCTATTTTTTAGAACTGACTTTTTTCAATCATGGAAGTTCAGCATCACATGTCAGCATCACTTATGGCAGTATGCATACAAATGCAGCATGTCTAGGAACTCCCACTCCTCCAGACTGACATAAATCCATCAAAAGGCATTTTGGTATTTGAATAACTCCTTTCAAGAACCAGCACTCTGCTTGCACCAGAGGAGAGAGGGTATTAGAGCAGGATGCTATGTACAGCACTCAGCTGGCCTATCCCACTAGCCATGATCTGTTTGCATTGCACATAGAAGCACAAAGTCCAAGTGCTGACATCAGTGGAAAACAATGAATGTAGTGAAAATGGAAAAAACGTTTTATAAACTAAATTTACAAATTTCCTTAGCATGTTGACGCCTGCAGCACAGGCAATTTGAGTACAGTGAGGGAAATGTGCACAGAATGTGCCTTTCCTGCACCCACTTCTGATTCATGTCTGAAAATCCTGAGGGTACAGAATATTTTTCTAAATTACTTTCTAAATCAAAATCACAACCAGCCAATCTAACCTGAAAGTGTTTTTATAACAGTCCTTGTCCACACTTTTATCCACTCTGGTGCGAATGCCTGTGACGGTGCTTTATTATGTAGAAATATACATCCTCATAACAGCATGATAGCGAAGAAATGTGTAATCATGTCAATGCTAATGCCATCATTGGTGATTTATTTTTATGTTTTATGCACTTGGTCAAAAAATGAAAAATTATAATGTGTATCCAAAGCCAAAACTTTTTGTTTAGTTTTGGATAGCATGTTGAAAGGGGCTTAGAACACCACCTACTGGCTGGAAATGTAAAGGTGGCGAGGGGCTGAAACTCCTATTAGGTTTTTATTGCTGTCTGTGTCCTGCTGGGGAGATTCACCCCTCTATTTATAGTGACCACTGTCAGGAAAGCAAGTGAGAGGAAAATCCCAAAGTTTGAGTGGTCATTAAAACAGGGAAAGTCTTCTAATGAGTACAATTATTTCAGGGACAATTCTTTAAGAAGGAATTTATCTCACTTTGAACAGATTTCTGTCACTTTACTTTATGTCTACAGGAGAGAAAATGAAGAAAAATATCTTGTGAATAAGTCCACAGATGCAAAAGAAATACTGACTGGGCTGGTTCACACCAGAATGCGGTGCAGGAAAGGCCCTTTCTATGCACGTTTTCCACCCTGTGCTCAAATGCACTGTTTGTGATCTGCTGCAGTTGGTAACAGCACCCCAAACACCCCACAAATTGCAGTCTCAGTGTGTTTGCGGGCACCAAATTGCATGGTTCTGTAATACCAAACGTTTTGGTGTGGTGCTTTTTTTAATAAAGTAGTGCATGCAAATGAATGGGCTGCAAAACGCGGGAATGAGCAGGAATTGCACAAGAATGTGTGCTGTGTTTCTGTGTGATCCCAGTGTGAACCAGCCCTAAAGGAAAAGTGTGGAGTTGTAATAAAATAAACATCTATACTCACCTCCATGCTGCAGCATTGATCCAGTGCTGCAGCTGTCCCCTGCTGGCTCTAAGCCTAAAAAGTGAGAGATCACATGACCGCTGATTGCTCAATTCTTAGTCTTCCCAGAGCAGAAAGCGGTGACTGTAAGTGCTCTATGCAGCACTGCCCCTGCAGTGCTCAATGGAGCGCCAGGCTAGGGAAAGGGTGGGAGCAGCTGCTCAGGCTCTCAGTGGCATGATGAGAGCCTGAGCCAGCTTCCGATCAGACAATATGGTCGGGATTCTTTCCACATCTGTGATGTGGCTAGCGTTGGCTAATTTTGGGTCACAGGAGAGCACAAGTATGGGAACTCCTGTCACCCAGAGAAAGGTATGACCAGAAA